TAGATATTTATAATGGATATATCCTCTTGTCCGATGGACCCTTTTATCAATCATTATGTAATGTTTGTCTTTGTCTCTTGTGCCTTTCTTTGTTTTAAAGTCTATTTTGTCTGATACAAGTACTTCAATACCTGCTTTTTTCTCCCTATTAGTTGCATGAAATATCTTTTTCCATCCCTTCGCTTTTAGTCTGTGTATGATCTTTGGTTTTGAAGTGAGTCTCTTGTAGGCCGCATATAGACAGGGCTTGTTTTTTTATTCATTCAGTGACTGATGAAGAGTCTGATGACAGTCTGATGGGTTTTCCTTTGTATGTGATCTTCTCTCTTTGGTTGCTTTTAATAGTCTGTCCTTATCCTTGATCTTTGCCATTTTAGCCATTTTAATTATTATATGTCCTGGTGTTATCCTTCTTGGGTCCCTTGTGTTAGGAGATCTGTGCACCTCCATGGCCTGAGACACTGTCTCCTTCTCCAGATTGGGGAATTTTCAGCAAATACTTCCTCAAAGACTTTTTATCCATTTTTCTTCCTCCTCCCCCTCCTCCCCCTCTCCCTCCCCCTTCCCCCCCTCTCCTCCTCCTTGAATATTGTTCCATTTGGATTGGTCACACAGTTCTCTCAGTATTCTTTCATTCCCAGAGATTCTTTTTGTCTCAGTGCCTCAGCTTCTTTGTATTCCTGTTCCCTAGTTTCTATTTCATTTATTGTCTCCTCCACCGTATCTAGTCACTTTTTAATACCCTCCATTGTGCTCTTCAATGATTGGATCTCCATCCTAAATTCATTCCTGCATTCTTGAATATTTTTCTGTACCTCCAAGAGCATGTTCATGATTTTTATTTTGAAATCTCTTACAGGAAGATTTATTAATTCAGTTTCACTCAGTCCTTTGATATTGAGATTTTGCTTTGAACCAGGTTCATCCGATGTTTCATATTTGTATGTGCCATCCTCTAGTGTCCAGAAGCTCTACTCTCTGGAGCTGCTCAGTCTGTGGAGTGATGTCAGGGGTCACATGGGATTAGTGCTGGTCCCTGGGGACAGCTATAATGCCTGTCTCCATTGCCAGAACCAGTGGGCTGAACACACCTGTGTAAGCCTCTATGCTTTTTGTTTGTAGCTACTGTAGGCAGGGCTTCCTTCTGGCTGGCCTGATACAAGTGCAGGGTCTGCCGGTTTGTGAGCCAGGTGCAGGGTAGCCGTGAGGAAGACGCAGCAGGCTGTGTATCATGGTGGGGGGTCTTGGAGCTGCGTAGCCAGCCAGGGAGATGGAGCATCTGAAGATTGTTTAAGTTCCCAACCTGCTGGCAGAGTACACCCATACAATTTTGTCTACCTGTCCTTTCTCCTGAGCAGTAAGCTCTGTGCAATCCTTGTCCCTTTAGCAGACCTCTCACTGTTAGGAAGTCTCTCAGACTGCCCACCCAGCTCAGCCAGACATGAATTCCTATTTTCCACAGCAGCTGGAGTCTCCGTCTCTCTAGGTATTCCACCTGTCTTAGCTTTCCAACCCCACTAGTCACCAGAGCACCATGCAATGTAGGTTTGTGTTCCCAGAGCAGATCTCCA